CAAATAGAGGAAAATGAACGTGTAGAGCTTCTACTTCAAAGTCTTCCTGATTTGTATGATTAGCTTATTATCAACTTGACCAATAATATCCTCTCAGACTATTTAGTCTTCAATGATGTTGCAGTCGTTATCTTGGAAGAAGAAAATAGGCATAAAAAAAAAGGAGACAGAAATATTTCAAACCAAGCAGAGGTGTTATTGGTGTCAAAAGGAAGATCAACGTAGCGTGGCTCCAGTAGGATTCAAAGGCAGGGAAGGTCCAAATTAAGAAGTAAGAAGACTATGAAAATGCTACAAATGTGGCAAAAAAAACACTTCAAAAAAGATTGTTAGTTTAAAAAGGGTATAGAGAATACTGTAGAATCATCAAAACCTCAAGGATGTGTTGCAAGCACCTCTGAAGATGGAGAGATTTTATATAGTGAAGCAGCGACAATCTCTACAGATACAGAAGAGCTCACTGAGGTCTGGCTAATGGATTCAGGAGCAACATGGCATATGACTTCTAATCAAGATTGGTTCCGTACATATGAACTAATCTCTGGAGGCAAAGTGTTCATGGGTGATAATCATGCTTTAGAGATTATTGGCATTGGCACCATCAAATTAAAGATGTATGATGGCTTAATTTGTACTATTTCAGGAGTGCGACATGTGAAAGACTTAAAGAAGAATCTTTTGTCCATAAAACAATTTGATAGTCTTGGTTGTAAGATCCGAATAGACAATGGAATAATGAAAATTATCAAAGGAGTGTTATTGATTTTAAAAGCAAGAAAGATAATTGCAAACATGTGTGTATTAATAGGAGAAACACATCATGAGACAGAAACGTCAATCGCATCAGCTAGTCCTACAGAAGAGAAGACGATGATGTGGCATCAAAAACTAGGCCACATGTCAGAAAAAGATTTAAAGGTTCTATCTTATCAGAAGTTATTCTCTAGGCTTACAAAGGTTACTTTACCTTTTTTGTGAGCACTGTATTACAAGTAAACAGCACAGGTTGAAGTTTGGCACATCAACAACTAAGAGCAAATGCATCTTAAACCTGATTCACTCTAATGTTTGGCAACTACTAGTTGTATCCTTGGGAGGAGCAAGATACTTTGTATCATTCATAGATGACTTCTCCAGGAGATATTAGGTGTATCCAATTAGAAGGAAGGCAGATGTGCTTACAGTCTTTAAAACTTTCAAAGCGCGGGTGGAACTTGAATCTGAAAAGAAGATCAAGTGTTTGAGGACTGACAATGGAGGAGAATATACCAGTGATGAATTTGATAACTTTTATAAACATGAAGGTATCAAAAGGCAGTTCACAACGGCATACACTCCACAACAAAATGGAGTGGCAGAGCGGATGAACAGAACTCTATTAGAAAGAACAAGAGCAATGTTGAAGGCTGCAGGTCTAGGAAAGTCATTCTGGGCAGAAGCAGTCAATACCGCCTGTTATGTGATAAATCGATCTCCATCAACCGCAATTGAGTTGAAGACACCGATGGAGATGTGGACTGGAAAACCAGCTGATTATTCTCGATTGCATATATTTGGAAGTCCTGTGTACGTGATGTACAATACACAAGAAGTTAGCAAGCTGGATTCAAAATCCAGAAAATGTGTATTCTTGGGATATGCTGATGGAGTGAAGGGGTATCGCTTGTGGGATCCCACTGCCCACAAGGTAGTGATCAGCAGAGATGTCATATTTGCAGAAGGTAAAATGCAAATGGAAGAACATAATATCATTCTAAAGGAGACTACAGCAGTCCATGTGGAAAATACTCAGAATCATGCTTTTTCTGAAACTGTACCAGAGCATGAAGAGCAAGAACAAATAGAGTCTGAAACTCCTAAAGTTCGGCAGTCAACTCGTGAAAGAAGACCACCGGCTTGGCACTCAGAATATGTTACTGAAAGTAACATTGCATACTGTCTTCTAACAGAGGATGGAGAGCCATCAACTTTCCATGAGGCTATTAAAAGCACAGATGTGTCTATGTGGATGACAGCAATGCAAGAGGAGATTGAAGCTCTGCACAAGAATAATACTTGGGATCTTGTTCCGCTACCACAAGGAAGAAAGGCCATTGGCAACAAATGGATTTACAAGATAAAACGTGATGGCAATGATCAAGTGGAGCGGTATCGTGCAAGATTGGTGGTGAAAGGATATGCTCAGAAAGAAGGAATAGACTTCAATGAGATATTTTCTCCGGTGGTACGACTTACGACAATCAGAGTAGTCTTGGCAATGTGTGCTATATTTGATCTTCACTTGGAGCAGTTAGACGTGAAAACTGCATTTCTTCATGGAGAACTTGAAGAAGAAATTTATATGCTCCAACCAGAGGGTTTTGCTGAAACAGGCAAGGAGAACTTGGTTTGCAGGTTGAACAAATCTCTATACGGTCTCAAACAGGCGCCGAGGTTAATCATAAACATGAAGGTGTTAAAAGGTAGTTCATAATGGCATACACACCATGATAAAATGGAGTGGCAGAGAGGATGAATAGAAAAATGCTGCAGGTCTAGGAAAGTCATTCTGGGCAGAAGCAGTCAATACCGCCTGTTATATGATAAATCGATCTCCATCAATTACAATTGAGCCGAAGACACCGATGGAGATGTGGACTGGAAAGCCAGCTGATTATTCTCGATTGTATATATTTGAAAGTCCTGTGTACATGATGTACAATACACAAGAAGTTAGCAAGCTGAATTCAAAATCTAGAAAATATGTATTCTTGGGATATGCTGATAGAGTAAATGGATATCACTTGTGGGATCCCACCACCATAAGGTGGTCATCAACATAGATGTCATATTTGCAGAAGGTAAAATACAAATTGAAGAACATAATAGCATTCTAAAGGAGACTACAACAATCCAGATGGAAAATACTCAGAATCATACTTCTTCTGAAGTTGTACCAGAGCATAAAGAGCAAGAACAAATCAAGTCTGAAACTCCTGAAGTTCGATGATCAACTCGTGAAAGAAGACCACCGGCTTGGCACTCAGAATATGTTACTGAGAGTAACAGTGCATGCTGTCTTCTAACAGATGATGGAGAGCTATTAACTTTCCATGAGGTTATTAAAAGCACAAATGTATTTATGTGGATGACAGCAATGCAAGAGGAGATTGAAGCTCTGCACAAGAATAATACTTGGGATCTTATTCCACTACCACAAGGAATAAAGGCCATTGCAATAAATGGGTTTACAAGATAAAGCGTGATGGCAATGATCAAGTGGAGTGATATCGTGCAAGATTGGTGATAAAAGGATATGCTCAGAAAGAAGGAATATACTTCAATGAGATTTTTCTCCTGTGGTACAACTTAAGACAATTATAGTAGTCTTGGTAATGTGTGCTGTATTTGATCTTCACTTAGAACAATTAGATGTGAAAACTGCATTTCTTTATGGAGAACTTGAAGAAGAAATTTATATGCTCTAACTATAGGGTTTTGTTGAAACAGGCAAGGAGATCTTGGTTTGCGGGTTGAACAAATCTCTATACAGTCTCAAACAGGCGCTGAGGTGTTGGTACAAGAGATTTGATTCCTTCATAATTAGCCTTGGATACAACAGACTCAGTTCATATCATTGTACGTATTACAAGAGGTTTAAGAAAGATGATGTTTTCATCATTTTGTTGTTGTACGTGGATGATATGTTGGTGATAAGCCCAAACAAAGATCGAGTCCAAGAATTGAAGGCACAGTTAGCTAGGGAGATTGATACGAAGGACTTGGGATTAGCAAACAGGATTCTAGGAATGCAAATTTACCGAGATAGAAGTAAGAGGAAGATTTGGCTTTCTTAGCTGAATTATTTGAAGAAGATCTTGTGTCTTGCGACACTTCAACATGCAAGATTGTGAGCCAATTTCCACCCCACTTGTTATTACCACCCCACTTCTTATTAACTTCAAATTAATCCTCAAGTATGTCTCCTAACAATGAAACAGAGAGGATGAAGATGTCTCGAGTACTGTATGCATTAGTAGTGGGAAGTTTAATGTTTGCCATGATATGTACAAGACCAGACATTGCACAAGCAGTGGGAGTAGGTAGTCAATATATGGAAAACCCTGGTAGAGAGCATTGAAATACTATTAAAAGGATCTTGAGATATATCAAGGGTACCTTAGATGTTACATTATATTATGGAGGATCAGAATTTACGGTCAGCGGTTATGTTGACTCGGATTTTGCTGGTAACCTTGAGAAAAGAAAATCCACTACAGACTATGTGTTTATAATTGCAGGAGGAGCCGTGAGTTGGGTCTCTAAACTACAGACTGTTGTAGTGTTATCCATAACAGAAGCTGAGTACATGGCAGCTACTCAAGCTTGTAAAGAAGCAATATGGATGAAGAAACTTATGGAGAAGCTCGGGCATGAACAAGAGAATATTCTTTTGTATTGTGATAGTCAGAATGCTTTACATGTTGCAAGGAATCCAGCATTTCATTCAAAAACAAAACACATAGATATTCAGTATTACTTTGCTCGCGAAGTGGTGGAAGATAGAAGTGTGGATTTTTAGAAGGTTCACATAAAGGAAAACCGAATAGATGCTTTGACGAAACCGGTCAACACTGCTAAGTATATATGGTGCAGATCCTCTTACGGTCTAGCACAAACGTAAGCAGCATGAAGATGACAAGTATAGAAAGGATAGAAGAATCTTAAATGATCAAGTGTGAAAACTTGATTAAATCATCAAAGTCTTCAAATGGGAGAATGTGAAGCCAACCACTTAAGTCAACAATGGTGGGAAAAGGTGAAGCCATCCTTTCCACCTTAGTCAATAAGTGTAGGCACCAATTCGGTGCCACTTGCAGCACCAATTGGTGCCCCTTATCCTTTGCTTGGATGCTTACCTATAAATAGGCAATACATCCAAGCTATTTTGCACAACATAAAAGAGAAACAAGAGAGGAAAAGTAAAGTGAGAGAGAAAAAATAATTCTATAAAATTATGAGGTATTTATAATAGAGTAAGTGAGGTGTTTTCTCCTAATAATAGAGAGATTTCTAATTGTTCTTCTATTATTTAAGAGAAGTTATAATTCCCACATTACTTAGTAAAATCCTTCTATATTTGCATGTGGACGTAGCCCAATTGGATGAACCACGTAAATTTATGTGTGTCTCATTTCTCATTTTATCTTGTCCTTTACCTTTTGTTTTGTCGGGTTTGCATGCCAGTATCATAACACTTTCTTATAATTTAATTTAAAATTTGAGTTAAGTAAGGAATTGAGTCAAAAGATTTTTTTATCAATTTCATCTCTTTTTTTCTCATCTAGATTGTCTTTTAATTGATTAAATTGACAAGGTTATGTCGAGACAATCTCATATAATTTAATTTTAAACTCGAGTTAAGTAAGATGATGGGTTAAAATGTTTTTTTTTTGTCAACTTCTTTCTTTTTCTCTTATTTTTTCAATCTCATTATTAAAAATTTTTCTAGTTTATTAGAATGTACCAGTCAAATTGATTATATTATATTAGATCAACTTTTATATATTTTAATTTTAAATTAAAATTAGACAAGTAATCAAATTAAAAAAATTTCAAAATTAACCTGAATATTTTTTATTATATTTAAAAAAATTGATTCCACAGCTCGTAATCAAAACTAGAATGAAGCTCAAGAAAAACAAAGTTACATTCAAGTATTGTGTTTTTTAATATGAAGTGGGTACAACATGGAAGCATTACTTACTGTTTTTTAAACATTCAAGTATTGTATCTGAGAATTGCTACGAAGTAGTCAATGAAAATATGAAAAGAATGGGAGAAACAAAACGCCATTGTAGGAGGTCAGGAACAGCATGTTAAAGTAAAAAAGATAAAATCTTTTTCTTCAGTTATTACTAGTCTACTAGTTGGATGCTGCGCTATGCGACCCGTTTACTTTTTATTTTTATAAAAAATATTGTAAAAGTTTATATTATAAAAACTATTTTTTTTTAATATTAATAATAATATTTTAAAAAAAATTTATTAATTATTTTATAAATAGTATTAATTATAATAAAAATAATAATATTAATAACACAAATAGTACTATTTTTATATATATATTTATATTTATAATAAAAATAATAATATTTATAAATTAAATAATTATTTTAAGAATTCCAAAGATAATTATTACATAAAAATAATAATATTTTTTATACTAATACTTCGAATTATAATAAAAATAATAATATTTTAAATTATATTTAATACAAAAACTTTGAGTTATAAGATAAATAATAATATTTTTTATATTAATATTTTGAATTATATTTAATATGAAAACTTTAAGTTATAAGATAAATAATAATGTTTATAATATATATTATTATATTAAAAAAATTTAAAAAAATATTTATAATATAAATTATTTGAATCTTGATGAAAATCTAAGTAAATTAGATCATAAGACAGGAACTATTAGATTTAGATTTACATCCTCAACCAGAGCCATTACCATTAAATTTTATGGATGACTAATTATATTGGTTTCTGTACGGGATAAAATTGTTAATTCTATTTTGTTTTATCTGAAATGACTGAAATATTTTATATTAATTTAAAAAATAAAATAAAATGAAACAATTTTTATCTCATTTTAAATCTTAGTTTGTTTTAGATTTTTTGGTTAAATTTCATCTAGAACGTTTTGGTTTCATTTTACATGTTCTGTTTCGCTCTTAAAAAGTCAAGTTTAATAATAATATTTTAAATTATATTTAATACGAAAACTTTGAGTTATAAGATAAAAGATAATATTTTTTATATTAATATTTAATATGAAAACTTTAAGTTATAAAATAAATAATAATATTTATAATATATATTATTATATTAAAAAAATTTAAAAAAATATTTATAATATAAATTATTTGAATCCCAGTGAAAATCCAAGTAAATTAGATCATAAGACAGGAATTATTAGATTTAGATTTAGATCCTCAACCAGAGTCATTACCATTAAGTTTTGTGGAGGACTAATTACATTGGTTTCTGTACCGAATAAAGTTGTCAATTCTATTTCGTTTCGTCTGAAATAATTAAAATATTTTATATTAATTTACAAAATGAAATAAAACAAAACAACTTTTATCTCATTTTAAATTTCGATCTGTTTTAGATTTTTTGGTTAAATTCCACCTAGAACGTTCTGATTTCATTTTACATGTTCTTTTCACTCTTAAAAAGTCAAGTTCAATTTAATTAATTAAACCACCCAAGTATAAAAACCTCATTTTCATTATTATTACTATTTTCATTAATAATGATATTAATTTTTTTAAATTAAATTTATTATTAAGATATATGGTTTATATTCATGTTGTTTTTTTCATGTTTATACTTGGAAGAAATTTGAACAAAACAAGGGATGCTTTAGATTTTATTAACCTTGATAATATTGACCTAACTTTATATTTAAAATATTTATGTTAAAAAATTTTATTTTTATAATATTTTGATATTTTGTTGAAGTTACATTACTTTAAGGTAAAGATCTATTTAATCTTAACTATTTAGAAATATTTTAAATTTTAAAATTATATTTGTTTGGTATTATATTTATATTGTATAATTTATAATTAATTTATCTTAAATTTAAATTATGTTTGTTGAATATATATATATATATATAATATTTCTAAAATGACACACCAAAACATTCATTCTGAAATTAAAATATTTTATTCTAATTAAAAAAATAAAATATTTATTGAAACAACTTCAATATAAAATTTAATTGTGTCCGCTCAATATAGGATTGGATAGAGATATGTCCAGACCCAACGTGACTTTAAACACAGTCACATCCGGGCGTTGGAAAGAGAGCTTCAGTACAATTATTGCTGGTGAGCGGAGTGAGGTACAGAGCACCTTTCCACTGCCCAACATGAAGTTAAAGGGAAGCATGCAGGCGCACTATGAAAATCTACTTTAATTTTAATCAGTCTCCTTTTAATATTATTTTATTTTTAAAATATATAAAAAAAATTGTGAGACATTTATTTGTCAGAAAAGTTGTAAGCTTTCAAAAATATAAATAAAAAATAATATAGGTTGTAGTGTCCTCAATGATCACAGTCTGTATATTTAGAAAAAAATAAATAAATTGTGATGTTCATAAAGCACAACTGATAGATCTGTACTGCTTGATTTAATAATGTTTTTTGAGCTTCGCTATTTTACTATAATAAAATTAGTTGAAAGTGTTATTTCACCTAAAAAAAGCTGGAATAAAATATCATCATTGAGAATATTAAAAAATGTAATTTAATTGATAAATTTTTATATGTATTTTTTAAAAATTATTAATTTAAATTTTATGAATCTTATAATTGTTAAAAATTTATTAATTTTAAAATTCATAAAATTAATTCAAATAAATCTAAATTGCATGTTAACTTAAAAAATATATATTTTTGGTTAAAATACCACGTATATCCTGCAAAACCCAACACAATGACAGTGTCCGAAAGAAAAAATAATGCACGCACATCACGTTTTCCATCATTTTTTTTAATAATAAATAAATTTGAGGTATAAAATTTATATTAAACCTAATTAAATTTTAAAAACAAGGCAAACGAGGTATCATCCTCTAATTAAATTTTAAACCTTGAGATCGTAAAATTGACGTATAAAAAGTCTGACCAGTTTATTTTCACATGAATAATTTTGTTTTAGCCCAAAAATAATTTTTAATTATTTTAAAATTCAAAATCTAACATATAAAATATAACTTTATAGGTTTTGATTTATTTCTTCTACCATGTTTAAAGTACAACACCTATCTATCACATCAATCTCTCCAATATGAATAAATTTTATGCGACTAAAAAGTGGATGGTTGAATCTTTTCTCTTCTCATTTTCTTTTTTCAACACTTTTTCCTTATATTTATTAAAGTTTAGGAGCTTAAATAGAATTAAATACTAAAACATAAAAGTACTAAGATAATAGAACCAAATTTAAAAATTTCAGAACCAAACTAAAGTTTCACACCTATGAAGCACAAGAAACAAAAAGGGCTTTGTTTTTATTGTTTTAACTACGAGAAATGTTGTTTTTATTTTAATATTCCTAAAAAAATTACATTGCATTAACTCCTTCAAGCCCACCAATGAAATAAAAAAAAGTAATTATAATTTTAAACAAGTAAACATGATGAAATAGTTAGATATACTGCTTTTAGGAAGCCATGCTAAAGCATCTTGGTTCAAGTTTAAGTGGCGATATAACATTTGAGAGAAAATGATTTTTTTTTTAGGATATTCTAGAAACAGATCTAGTGGAGACGAGATGGAGCCTGTAACTCAAAAGATTAGAGCATGTGACTATGAGATCTAGTGGAGACGAGATGGAGCCTGTAGCTCAGAAGATTAGAGCATGTGGCTATGAACCACAGTGTCGAGGGTTCGAATCCCTCCTCACTCACAACTAGCCAAAAAGGGAAGGACCAACTATTGATGTAATTATTCCAACTATATTTATTATTATACATAGAATAATCATAGTGGAAATCATCACTTCTAGACCCCTTATTTAAATAACTAGAAAATTCTTTTTCTAATTCACTAAAAAAAATAATTATTCTCACCCCAAAAAACTTGATTTTCAATATCAAAATATATGGAATAACCGTCTTTTTTATTATCCTTACCTTTAATATGAAATTAGTCAAGTCAATAAAGTATAGCATATATTGAATTTATATACATAAAAAAAATACTAAACCAAATACTAAGTACGCAATCTATGACTTCTCTAAAAAAATATCTTAGTATATGGAGTATTTCGTTAGAGAATCACTATGTCTATTTTATTTCTAGTATAAAATCACTTAAATTAATAACTTTTAAATAACTAAAAAAGGAACTACTTTCTTTGGTCTTTGAATCGGAAAAAGAAAACTATATAA